TGGGCATGAAGGGTCTGGGGGGCAAAGGACGAGGCGGGGGGTATCTCCCTGCCCCCGGAGTGCTTTCCCCCCAAGGCACAGCAGGGAAGCGCTTGGTTGGGGGTGGCTAGGATGGGTCTGCTTGTAGGGAGCACCAGTACTGCGGAGCACTGGGAACACTGGTCAGCAGGGGAAGGTCCCTGCAGGTCTGCCCACCCCGGAGCCGCAGCGCGGTCAGGAGGAGGGGGGGGCAGAGCAGGGTGTCCCTCTCCAGCCGTGTGCCAGGACTTACAAGGGATTCGTGAAGGCAAGATCTTGGCAGCGGGGCAGCGCAGGGTCCATGACCAGGGACGGCGAGAGCATCGGTGACGTGCTGCGGGGAGGAGGAGGAGCAGGAGCAGGCAGGGGTGGGGGAAACACCACCTGGCCGTGCCTGGGGGTGGTGGGGGGCCCACCCCTGTCCCCCACCCTGAACCAGCACCGCTCCTACCTGGGGAAGGAGGACCCGAGGTTGCTGGAGACCATCATGTCCATGTTGCTCTCAGCTGTGGGGTAGCCCGTGGGGACGGGCTGGGGGCAGAAGGGAGCAGGGGGGCTGCAAGCGCAGACAGGCAGGGGTTGGCATCCGAGGGCGTTCTCCACCACAGCCCCCTCCCACAGCAGAGCAGGTCTGGGCAGAGAGCCCACACTCACCAGATGGGGCTGAGCACCGACTGCAGGCTCTCTGGGTGCAGCTCGGGCTGCAGCACGGGCAGGCTGAACATCTGAGACTGGGGGCCCTCAGGAGGGGCCCCCGCAGCGCTCTGGGGCTGCTGGTCCCTGCAAAAGCGCATCGTCCCCATCAGCACAGGCAGCACTCGTGCTGCAAGGTCCGGCCTCTGAAGAAACACGCGTGCAAGTCAGCACTTGCTCGTGGAGAAGGCGGTGCGCTCGCAGACACTCTCCGCTGCAGCTCGGGATACCCACGGGGGATACCCACGGGGGATTCCTCGCTCACAAGCACATCCCCATTTTGCCCAGTTAGAAATCCCCCCCGCCCAGCGGTGATGCGCGGGCCGGCACGGTGAGCTCTGTGCTAGCCCTGGCCCAGGGCACACACCTCTGGCACGGCCTCGCACGCACACCCACCTTTCGCTTTCCACTGTCATCTTGATGGCAGTGGAGACGTAGCCCCGGCCATCCTTGCCCGTCTGCTCTTCTGCTCAGAGAGGAGAAGCATCAATGAAGCACCACCCCATCATGGGGACAACCCTCCTGGCCAGCAGTGGCCGCCCCTGCAAGCTGCGGGGCCAGCAGGACCTGGGTGGGACGCAAACCACTCTTCCCTCCCAAAGCCCCCCACTTCTCCCCGCAGCACTGCTGGGAAGGCAGGTGTGGAGCCCAGCGCCCATCTCTGCTCCCACTCACTGTTGTAGTGACTCCCGAACGCCTGGTCCTTGGGGGTGTTCGGGTAGAGGTTGCGGAGCTGCCCCAGGTCCCGGATGCGGTCGCCAAGGGACCGGATGGAGAGGTCCTTGGCAGAGAAGGGCTGGATGTTCTCCACCTGGCTGGAGCCTGCGGGGAGACACAGCACAGGTCCCCGTAACACCCAGGCCATGACGACACCTCCCCTTCGCATCACTGAGAGCAGCCGCTGTCCCATCTCACCGTCCTTGCCCCGGATGACGTGAGCGATAGTGACACCCCCGATCTCCGAGTCACTGAAGCGGAGCAGGAAGGTCCCATCGGGCTGCGTGCTCAGAAGCTTGCAGACGTACTGCTTGCTGATGAAGCCAATGATGAGCCTGGAGGGATGGACAGACGGGAGAGTGGGCCAGCACCAGGGCGGGGGGCTGCAACCAGGACTCCCCAGGTCTGGCCCTGGAGCACCCACCTGTCTGACCAGTAACTTTTGAGGCACCTCTTGGTGAGGTCGAGGACTCCATCAAACCACTGCCAGAAGGTGAATCCCCGACCAGGCAGGATCTCCTGGGGCAGAGAGAGAGTGTGAGGCTCCCCAGAGCTATGCCGGCCCCTGCCCACCCTAGCCAGCCCTCCCAGTAACCTTGTTGAACTGGGCCCAGGAGACGCTGCGGCTCTGGAAGTCGTCGAGGCTGGCACTGTGGTCATTGAAGATCTTCTGGGCCAGGAAGAAGTAATGCTCCTTGAGAAGGCCCCTGGTGGTCTGCACCTCCGCCATGAACTTCAGGTTCAGCGTATCACACATCTTCTCCCAGGGCACCCGCTCGGCCACCACGAAGGGCACCCGGTCCTGAGGCAGGGCAGGACAGCATCAGGATGGCGGCTCTCCCGCTGCCCCTTCCCAGGCTGCCGCATCCCACCCACGTGCCGGGGTTCCTGCTCCAGCCTGCCATCTGGCCGTCCCCATCCCAGAGCCGAACCCAATCCTGGCATCCTGGCAGCTCCTCTCCTTGCCCTGCGGCCCTTTCCCTCCAGCTCGTGGCACTCACAATCTCAGAGAAGGCGTTATCCCACAGCACGGTTGCTTTGGCGTTATTGTCCTGGTTCCCATGGACGATGACCACGATGGGCAGAGACAGGACCTGGTGGCAGAAAGAGGCCCTCCCTCAGCCCCGAGGCCCCCCCGAATGAAAGGGGGCTGGCTGCC